ATGTATACCAGGCACCAAAAAAAAACCCAAACCAACCCACTATATTTTTGTAGGGATTGTTTTAATGTAAATGTTTTTTCTTTGCCTTGCTGCAGGGAGAAATAGCCACTGAGTGTCTCGTTTATGTCTCTCCAGTCTGTTACACTGTGCAGGGTCACATATACTGCTTTAAGGTATTGTTTCTGCAAATGGTAATTCAAGAATGTAGGCATACAGTATTAATGAAGGAGTACCTCAGATGACTGCATAGGTTAGCAGATCTCCTTCTGTGCTTATGGCTGCTTGGGGCAAACTTGTTGTGCATTTTCCTATCGAAGACAGTTGTTTCTTGCCATACCTCTACAAAGCTACAGTTGCAGTTTAAAAGATTTTGTAAAACACTGTCAAGATTGGCTATAATGGATTATATGACATATTCTTCAACATAGGGGCAACTGGTCCTGCTGAGTACTTAGTCTTGCCAAGACAGTAAGATTAGGCAGGCTGGCAGGTGGGAGTCTGGGGAAAAAAAGAGTTACTTTAGGCTACAGGGGAAACACCACACATGGCAGATCAAGGTCATTCATTGTTATTCTCCACTCAAAGTAAAGATCCAAGGTGGGCATTGGGATAAACAATGTCAAGTCATACTTGACAGATAGTTAACTTTGAGGATCATACAGCATGCACCAGATGATAGTCCATGAGGATGCTGGAATACAGCAGACCGAGACTTGAAAGGAACAATATTGGTTGTTATTGTAGAGTTCAGTGAGGTTGGTGTTGCTTTTGAACAGTTCCTCTTAGCTCTTTATTTAGTGGGTTTTAACCAAGAATTAAAGGATGAAATGTGACCCCCAGAAATAGAACCTATCCAATGTTCCCATATGAGCTTTGTTATCAGACACTCTTCTTTCATAAGAGAGCGCCTGGATTACTTCGTCCAGACAGCATCTGCTTTTCCACATAGGAGTTTTTATTTTTGATTCAGAGTTATTACACGCACTTGAAGCAGTAGTTCATGCTGATGTGAGAGACAAGCTCCCATTAGTGGTGCAAGGAGTTTGACAGGTCTGTTGCTCTGCTTGTTCTTCAAACCATCTAACAGTCAACTCTGCTGCCATCCATGGCTTCCCCAAGAATCTTCATTGTGCTATTAATTTCTTCCATGCTGGTACCATGTTTAGAAAAGCACTGTTGA